TTTATGTAGAAAACTAGGATTTAAATCAAGCCTTACTAACTAGTGATTTAAATCAGTTTGATTTAAATCAAATCCACCCTGTCCACTAGTGAGTAAAAGATGTTTCGACACAATGTTTTTTTTTCCCATTAACAGATTACTGCATCACCAGTTCCCATGGTGCTCCATAGATGTACTGATACCATTAGGACATCAACAAATTTTATGAACAGATAGTTTTATGTAGAAAATCTTGGCTTATTTAACAAAACTATTTTATTAAAGTTTTGCAAAGACAAAATTAAAGCAATAAATATACAATCAAACAATAATTTTTCCATCACTCAATCCAACCTCACACAACCTGGGATTCCACATCTGTTACAATGGTAACATTTTATAGCAGTGTTTAATACCGAGGACCTCAGTAATATAACGATGTCAAACATTTAGAATTGTTTAAGAAGAAAGATCAAAAACAGCCAAATTTTGTGTGTGTGTGTGTGTGTGTGTGTGTGTGTGTGTGTGTGTGTGTGTGTGTGTAAAAACGGACTGGTATATAAAGCATATGAAGTAGTAATACACACTTTATCAAGATTTTCCACATATTGTAAAAAAAAAAAGGGTTTGATGTGCTGTGAAACTCAACTAGGATTTAAGAACATAAGGAATCATAGGGGTGTAGACAGTATAAATTTTGAGTTAAGGTAATATATAAAGAATCTATAATTAAAAATGACTTATTCTAAACATTTATTTTACGCACATAATATACCACCCTCCTTGTTCATCTATGGAAGCACTTTAAGTGCTATACTGTGTGTTAATACACACGTGTGTGTGTCTGTATGTGTATTTTGACAAGGGGGTGGGTACCCTGTATTAACCCCTTAAACAGAAACGTGAATTAAACTGGACCCAAAACCATTATATTATCCATTCAAAATCAAATTCTTATGTTTGATTAATGTATACTTCTTAACCTTACATAGCATAAAGCATTTTTAAAGCAAAAACAGTGTGGAGATTGTTGATTTTGGCAAAAAGTTAAGGCCTTAAAAACAGACTGTGCCTAGGATCATAGGGGTTTAAAGAGACTAACTTGCAGACTAACACAGGTACTCTTAGGCATCAAAAAAACACTTCAGCGCTGTTACTTTATAGAAATGTTTTAGGCCAGGATATGTTCCCCAAGAGTGGCAACAGAAGTGCCGCTTTTCATCTACACTTATGCGTAAAAAGAATTAGACCTGCTTATTAGAAATAACTAGATGGCATCTACTTTCCACTCGCACTTATGAGACGAAATATCAAAACTTCTCAAAATATTGCAATTAAAAGCAAAATTTGTCCCTGCTTGTTTTTTGGTCTGAGTGATAAACACACTAGTAAGGAGCAGATCAGAGATAATTGGGGGAAATGGTTGCGATGGAGCTGATGAACTGAGGTAAGCATGATGCAAAATGGTGGCTGAACATAGTCTTGGGGTGGGAGTCCAGGAGGAGGCAGAATGGCCAGTAGTTAGGGGAGACAGAGACCATGTCAAAAGATGACAATGACACAGAGTGTAGAAGAGAGGAGGAGCAGCAGCTAACCATGGAACACGGGGAGAGGCAGAGAACGCAGAGCAGGTAAAGGAGGCAGCAGAGCACAAGCTAAAGTAGTTACTCATTCATTGATGGGATAGAAGTTTGAATGTGATCTAATCATGAACCTTTGAAAGAAGAGAGTGTGAGGCCGAGCATGATGGTTGGTGTGCATATATAAAATGTGGTTGTGGGAGCAAGATGGTAGAGAGAGCTGGACAGGGGCTATATAATTATACATAGTTTAAATTTTGAGTTATCACATTCACCTTGAAGGTCAATTTGGAATTATTGTAGCAAGCATTTGTGTAGTCTGAATGAGTGGGAACAAAAAAAAAAAAAAAAAAAAAAAAATATTAAAGAAGAAGAAAGAACTGGGTTTCATTACTCCGATTAGGAAAACTTCAAAGCCCCAGGGAGTTTTAATATCAAGTTTAGTTTATTCTGTTTTCAATTGATTGATTCAATTGATTTTTGTTAAAAAAAAATAAAAAAGTATATGTGGTAGGAAAGAATTTATTTTATTGCTTAGAATATCATAAAATTCTGCATATACCTGCATTAGCAAATATTTTTAAGTGACAATTTGCTTTGCCTGCTCTACACATTGGTTGTCTTTATGGTCCACATATACATGTATGTTCCTACACAGCTGGAAGTACTAGGGTATTTTTCCGCTTCTGGTGGCTGAACATAGTGACAGGTGGAGAGAAGAAAAAGGTGCATACATGCTGCTGCGGGTGGGACATTAAAGCAAACCTGTTGCTTGCCCTGAACGGGTAAAATGCAGATTTGCTTTAGGATAAGGGTTGTTAGAATAATTTCTGTAAATTATTTGATTTCTGTTTGATTTTATTCTATGTAAATGAAGAATTTCTGAAAGTATGCATTTCCACAGGAATGTCTCCCACATGACAGTGTAAGAACTACAAATAGGGATTTTAAATACTTTACATGTATGTGTCCTTATTAGCCCACTGCTTCAGAAGAGAAGCGTTTTGGGAGGCTTTACTTGCACCAGCAAAAAGGTAGATTCTTAGGGTATCTTTTTCAGAGCCCTTATTGTATATTGATTGTGCAGATTTACTTTAATTATTGTCTCATCTAGGCTGGTGCAGTATGGAGAAAATAGGAATTTTTTACTTGTCATAAAATCCTTTTTTTGGAGTCAAGGATGAATGTTCAGGGTACATTGGGTTATACAGTCAGTCTGGCTGAAAACCAAAGGACAAAAGTCCATCCAGTTCAGCCATAAAAAAAAAAAAAAAAAAAAAAAAAAAAAAAAAAAAAAAAAAAAAAGTTATAATCCTACACCCACAGTTGATCCAGAGGAAAGCAAAAAAACCCTCAGCAAAGCATGATCCAATTTGCTCCTGCTGGGGAAAAAATTCCTTCCTGATCCCCCCGAGAGGCAATTGGATATTCCCTTTATCAGCTTTACCTATGAATGTTAGTATCCACTTATATTCTGTGTATCTGAGAAAGAATCCAGGCCAGGGTTATGATGCTACTTTCAGAAAAGTGGCAAAACAGAGCTGCAAGACAGTCTGGAATAACCCCTCCCACTCTCAGCATGCCTCAGTTTTGTTCAGAAGCAATAATGGGAGTGGATCACAGGAACAGAAGGGAGGGACCTATGTTTTGTAAAGTATTGTAAGTAAGGGATTATACTGGGCAGTCCTTACAGCTTTTGTTGCCTATCTTCAATCCCTTAACCGGTTCCTCACCACCCTACAGCAGAAATACTGCTACAGGGCGCCACGGGTGCACAAAATCAAGTATATATACACGCGATTTCGCAGCTCCGGGTAGGGGGTGCATGCACGCCCTACCCGCACCTCCATTCGCTGCCTCGGCTGTCAATCACCGGGTCCTGGCCGGTGATCGCCGAGTATCTCCGACAAGGGAGAGACCTGTGTATAAACACAGATCTCTCCCGTCAGCTCTTGCACATGGCTCTGCATAGCAAAGCCATACAAAGCAGTGTGCTTACAGTGGAAAGCACACACACAGCATACTGTAAAACAGCACACAGTCAACCTTTTGATCACCCCACATGTTAACCCCTTCCTGCCCAGTGCCATTAGTACAGTGTCAGTGCTTTTCATTAGCACTGATCACTGTATTGGTGTCACTGTGGATGTCAGTGACACCAAGTCAGTTCCCCCCCCAGTGTCAGAATGCCCACCGCTATAAGTCGCTGATCGCCGCCATTACTAGTAAAAAGAATAAAATTCGAAATACCGTCATTTTTAAACACTAACTTTCACGTAAACCAATTAATTTACACGCATTGGGATTTATTTTTTTTCTCTTTTTAGCAAAGACATGTCGCAGAATACATTTTGGCCTAAATGGTGAAATTTGATTTAAAATTTATTACTGGACATGTTTAATAGCAAAAATTGTCTTTTTTGTTTATAGCACAAAAAATTTAAACCACACAGGCGATCAAATACCACCAAAAGAAAGCTCTCTTTTGTGGGGGGGGGGGGGGGGGGGGGGAAGACCTAACTTTGATTTAGGTGCAGCGTTGCATGACCGCGCAATTGTCAGGTAAAGTAACGCAGCGCCGTATCGCAAAAAATGGCCTGGTCAGGAACGGGGGTAAATCCTCAGGAGGGAAAGTCAGTTGATTAACCCAATGTACCCAAACACAAACGAAAACCAGGCTAATAAATTGATAAAATGACATGAATAATACAAGACACATTGTTGGAAAAGAATAGATTCATGTTGGAAAAGAATAGATTCATGTTGGAAAAGAATAGATTCATGTTTAAACAAACATTATAGAAAGGAAACTATTGATAATGGACCCTAGACCTGGTCATAAAATGAATTTAACTGAGATCAAAGCTCTTTTTACACATTTTTCCTCAAATCACACTGTATTAACAAGTCTTTTTTTTTTTTGAGTCTTTATTTCTAAACCAAATGCTGGCCATACAGAAGAAGTGTTTTTGTCAATATGATTAAATATAAAACAAACAATCACACCCCATACGATGCCATATATTCTTTAAGACTCTCCACAATTCTTTTAGTGTTAATAACCAGTCGAAAGAGCCAACTAGAACAAATATTCATTAACATTTCAGACTGGTGCAGCCATTGAGCAATAACGGACCCCATAACAGCTTAAGGTTCAAAAGGGCAATCACCACCATGATGTATTATTAACCATCGAATGCAATATGCTCCTCAATGACAAAATTTGTCTCTATTATTGTTTTAATTGTTTTTGAATTTCAAATACTTGGTAAAATTTTGCTAGGATTTATTTTCCTAAATTTAAAAATTCATTGAATGTAAGCAAAGTTGTAATACAAAGCTGGTTTTTAATTTTTCTTTTTAAGTCCATAATTTACAAGAGGAACTCTTGCATCCTCTTGAATTATAGATGCATATCTGAGTGTCTTTTAGACTGTCTCATTACTTGCGAGGCTGATGAATGTGCTGATTAAAATGTTGGGCAGGAGGTAACTTCTCCACAGCGGGATGTGGTTTTTGATGAGCAACTTGAGCAGCAGCAGGAGGGAAGTCCTTGTCACCCTGTGAATATATGTAAATTGCTTTTTAAATCATAGCTTTGATTGAATGGGCAAAAACATTAAGAAATTCCAGTTTCATTCTTTAATTTTTCTATAGTCTGTAAAATAAGATACATGCCAATACTATTCACGGGTAGCTCTAAACCAAAACAAACAAAAATTTAACTGCCCATGGGACTTTGGCAAGATACATTACCAATATGGTAAGTTGAACATAAAATAAAATGGGTATTATATTGCGTTTGTGTATTTTATATTGAAAATATGGGTTAGACAAAATGTACCAATATCGTATGACGTAATGCAGTCACCAAATGGAAAGCAGCACTAGAGATGTTCTTCATAGGTTTAGCTACACTTTAACACACTCCTCTTTCTTGGTGCCTTCACTGTGATCTATCCCCTCCAACACACAGGATCAGTCATGGTGTAGCTACACAGCATGGCTGGGGACTGCTGGAGCACGTTACATATTACACCCCAAATATTGGTATCACATGCTCCAAAAGGTGAACTTGGCCTTTAACCACTTCCCGGCCGGCCGTTGCATATAAACGGCCGGACGGTGGCAGTGCATGGTCGGGTGGCCGTTTATAAACGGCCTCCCCGCACCCTGCTTGTGCGCGCTCCCTCGGAGCACGCAGCACCGCGATACGGTGCCCACTGTGTCCTCCGGACACAGTGAAACACCGATCGTCGGACGGGACCTCTGTACGAGGTCCCGATCATGTGATCACTGATTGGCGAATCAGTGATCACATGCAAAGTAGTAAGCAAGATGTCACTTGTGACATCATTGCTTACTACGTGTGAAATCTGTGAATGATCACAGAGGTCACATGGTACAAGGCTATTCACAACAGCCTTGTACCATGTGACAAGCTGTGACCAATCACAGCTCACTCAGTACTTCTCAATGACTGCAAGAATGCACACAGAGAGAAAGAGAAAATGATTGCTTTTACATCCTATATGGGTGTGAAAGCAATCAGTGTAAAAAAAAAAAAATCTTCATCACCCCCCACAAGTAGTACAGTGTCACCATGGTGACACTGTAATGCTAGGGTGACAGTATGTAAGAAAAAAATAAAAAAATAAATTAAAAAAAAAAAAAAAATAAAATGTAAAAAAAAAAAAATTGTTTAAAAATTATAATTTTTGTTTATAAACTAATTTGGATTTTTTTTTTTTACTAAAAAAATAACGGAATAAATTTTGGCCAAGATTTATGATGAAATATTATTTATTTGCAAAATTTTATTTAAAAAAACAAACTTTTTTTCAAAATTTTTGGAATTTTTCATTTACATAGTAAAAAAAATAAAAATCCCAGCGGTGAATAAATACCACCAAAATAAAGCTTTATCTGTCTCAAAAAAATGGTAAAAAATTCTAATGGGTACAGTATTGCATGACCGCGCAATTGTCATTCAAAGTGTGATAGCGCTGAAAGCTGAAAATTGCCCTGGACAGGAAGGGGGTAAAAGTTTCCGGACAGGAAGTGGTTAATCTTTTCTAGATTATAGACCAGAGGTCTCCAAACTGTGGCCCTTTGCTTGCCTTTATCTGGCCCTTGGGGCAATATCCTTCCCACTGAGACCTACAATGGGGCATAACTTTTGGCAATAACCAACAATGCAGCTTTATTCCTTCCACTGACATCAAAGATGAGGCACTACTCCTCCACCTGATACTAAAGATGGTTCATTGTTTACTCTCACTGATGCCAATTTCTACTCCAAGTGGCCATGATCCGGCCCTCCAAAAGCCTGAAGGACAGTAAACTGGCCCTTTGATTAAAAAGTTTGGAGACCCCTGTTATAGACTATGGTTGGTGCTATGGGTTAGACAGGACAGAGCACCATTAATGAAACATGCTGCCATAAACAGACGCCAGGAAAGGAAAATTGTGGAAAGACAAGTACACAATGTTCCATTTTCCTAGTCAGACCCAGACTGCCAGTGACACTGCTGTGGTAACACCTATTTCCAGTAGTCTACAGTAAAAAGCTGACCCACAAGCTGCAACATGGAGCTGGCTGTTTACATGCTGGAAAATACAGTCCTAAAGCAGTGCCTGATGTCACATACAAAAAGGTTACTACGCCATTACTGCCCTCACTTTGCCGTTTCTGCAATAGTGGAGGGAGAAATGTAGTGACCAGGACTTTGGGGGTAGATAAACACACATCTAAGAAAAACAATTATGTTCATATGCTGCACAGGTAGAGGGACAACTTAAATAGTAGTTCCAGACAATGTCAGAACACAGATTTCTTTTTCAGCCCTTAACCTGGACTTGTAAAACATCTGAAAATTCAAGTTTATGAATCACAAAACACAAAATATTTTCATTGCAGTGCCCTACATTTTCTGTTTTTTCTTTCATTTAAAATTATTATATTTCCTCCCAAAAGAGTGCATGTATATTTACCCACTTTTACCCCCTACATGACCAAAGTTCTGTGCTACTTTAACGGGCAATTAAGTGGTCATGCAACACTGTACCAAAATGAAATTTATTTCATTTTTTCACACAAATAGAGCTTTCTTTTGGTGGTATTTGATCACCACTGGGTTTATTTTATTATTTATTTTCTATTTCCTGTTTTAAAACAATAATATATAAATATATATTTCATACATTTAGGCCAAAATGTATTCTACTACATATTTGTTAAAAAAAAAAAAAATCCAATAAGTGTATATTAATTGGTTTTTGCAAATGTTATAGGATCTACAAAACTATGGTATATATACACATTGAAATTTATCCAGCTATGACTCTATACTGGTAATGGTGGTGATCAGCAACGCATAGTGGGACTGTGATAGTGTGGCAGGCAATCTGACGCTGGCCCACTAACCAACGTCAATAGTGACACTAATAGAGTGTTCAGAGCTAATACTGTACGCTGTCACTGTACTGACACTGGCTGGGAAGGTGTTAATATCTAGTGGCAAATATGGGGTTAACTGTATGCCTAACAAAGTGTAACATGTGCTGTTTTTACTTTACTATATGGCTGTTTTTCTCCCTACATTGCAGGAAGAAAAAAACAAACAACCAGATAACTGTTGCCTGTACACAGAATATTGAGTTTTGTAAACACAGAACTCTGTGTGTGATTGGACACAGCTGATTAGCCGACTTCAGCCAAAACCTGTGTTCTCCAATCGCAGCAGAGGGCGCGCATGTGTGTGCCCCAAACCCGGAAGAAGGCCTATTACGTATATATACACCTGACTGCCTGCCGCAATAAATGTATAACGGAGGGGCAGCAAATGGTTAATATTTTACTAAAATTTCTAAAAAAAACACAGATGCTTAACGTTAAAGTACAGTTTACATGAAAAATGGTCATATATTACTTCTACCCTTTATAATACAAGACTAATATTAAAATTATATTTGTAACAACAAATTAAAAAAAAAAAAAAAAAAAAAAAACACTACAACAAAAATAGGTATTGGTAAATAAACTTACCCTTGCAATAGCACCAGAGATTATTAGCGGTGGTCTGGCTTGACTAAAAAGAGAAAAGTGAGAAGGAAAAAAAAAATAAGCACCACATATTTTAAAATGTAAAAATTGACAATAGGCCATGCAACTGCACTTGCTTTGACTGGAGACTCTTACCTCCCACATGATCAGTGCTGTAATAAAATATTTTACTGCAAAAGTTTTCAGAAATACACTAACTTAATAAAGAGTCAGTGCTGTAAACTAGGACAGGTAAGTGACAGGTAAGTGACAGGCCAATTGACCTCAATCTCTGTGCAATCTATGGGTAAAGGCAGTGAGACAGTTCCAGAAACAGACACTTGAAGATACAGGGAAATCCTATCCAAAAACAGAATACTTTTTGTTGCATTAAAAACACAAATGTATTTTAAAAAACCCATCCCAGTGTGGTATGACATGGATAAATACCAGCATTGAAATTGCAAATTACTTGTGTACAAATCTTATTTCACTTTTTAACTAAAATGTTCCTTTTGTGCGCCTCTCACCTTAAATTAGGAGATTCTTTTATAACAGTTGCAACAAGCAGAGATAATATGTGAACACACACAGAACTCATTAACTATAGCAGTTGAGCGGCAGCAAAATCCCATGATTGAGTCGTGTTTTTACCGCCCAAACAGCTTCTTTTATTATGCATCTTGTAAGTTTTTTTTTTTTAATGAGTTTCATATACATTTTTTTTTTTGCAGTGTGTTCACCTGCATCACAATGGTGTACACTAGGCTCATTGAAATACGTAAATTTTTCCTGCATTGGTACTGCACTTAAAAATTGTTCACCTGCATGTGGTGTAAACAAGCCCTAAAAATAGTGGGAAAAAAAAAAAAAAAAAAAAAATAGGACAAAACATATTTTTCTATTCCTTTATAAACGATCAACAAAAGCGTGTCCGTTCCAAGACAGGCAATGTCAGAGATATCACAAAGTGTTGAAGAAGCATTTTAGCAAGCAAAAATGTTAAGAACACAGCAGTGGGTGTGACTGCAGCTAGTATGGGCAAGTGAGCAGTGAGAATAAGACGGCTGGCAGTATAGCCAAGACGTATGTGAAGGTATGAAGCCAGGTAATATGTATAGAAGAGGCGTAAGGAAGATATGAAAGGGAAAAGTATGTGCAGGAGAGGAATGAGAAGGGCATATTGTATATGCACAAGTGCAAAAAGTGGAAATACTGAACAGTAGGTGCAGAAAAGGAGTGTGAAACGTATAACAGCAAGCAACAAATGCAAGTAATAATTGTGGAGCATTTGAGAGCAGCCAGTATGTGGAGAAGGAAACAGTACAGCAGGTATCACCAGAGGCAGTGTGTGCAGCAAAGGCGTGCTCAAGGTATAATGCTGGCGTTTGGTGTTCTTTATGGAGACACCTTAGAAGACTTTTCTCCAACTTGCAGATAACAGAGACCCCAACAAATCCTCCTACAACAGAGCTTAGTTCACAATGATACCAATACATACCTGTTTATACAGCTTCAGAACCTAAAGGATATTATGCATCTGACTATATTGTTTGGAGATCTTGTTATGCAACATTTCTTTAACACTTCAGAGACTTCAAAGTCTATTTTATCACTTGTTTTTTTTTTTTGCTGTATGTAAATAAAATAGTACTGAAAATTTTTTTAAAAAAAGTTTTTTTTAGTTTAGTTTATGTAAAAAAAAAAAAAAAATGTGTAAATACATAATCTTTCTGCATAAATTTAGGCCAAAATGTATTCTGCTACATTTGTGGGGTACAAATAACCCAAAACAGTGTATATTATTTAGTCTGCGTGAAAGCTGTAGAGTCTACAAACTATGTGATACATATCTGAAAATTTAACAGTTGAGACCCTAAAATGCTGGTATGACGTACGGCAGTGATCAGGACTTTAGCCTGAGCTATGGCAGTGATCACAACGCTGGTATGGGGCATGGTGATTATCAAGATACTGGTATGGCATATGGGGTGAGCAGAATGCTGGTATGGCGGTAATCAAGGCACTGGTATGGTGTATGGCGGTGATTAGGACACTGGTATGGTGTATGGCCATGTTATTGTGTGCACTGGGACAGGGCTGGCTGTATTGTTTATTGTTGACTACAATGGCAGTGATCAGGGACACTGGGATGGCTGGCTGAGCAATTTGAGAGTGAACTTGCAGCCTGACAGGCTGCTGCACACTCACAAGCTGCTGCATCACTTCTCTCTGCTCTCACAGTGAAAGTAGAGAGAACCGATCTTTACTTTTACCTTTCAATATTTACAATGCGAGTGCTGTGATTGGTCACGGCAATCACATGGTAAAACACCATGTGACCAGCTGTGTTCGGGCAATACACAGATTGCTGGGCTCACAGGTACGCGCTCTCTGAGCTGTCGATGCGGGCTGACATACAGGTACATTAGCCCACATCAGCAAAGCTTCCTGTCCATAGGCAATGGGAAGAGGTTTTATGCCTGTTTCTGATGACATTAAATTTGTTGCTACAATTTTTTTTTTTACTTATGTACCCTGTATTTGTCTTGATGCTTTGTTGTGTTGTAATCTTGTAAACCCTCATTAAAAATGTATTAAAATATATTATACATCATCATTGGCTAGGGCGAGGAATGAGGGAGTGAAATGAGGAAGTGAGAACAAAGTACTGCCAAAAAAAGGAACTTGTCTAAGAAAAAAAAAAAAAAAATAGAAAAATGCAATCCTGTAACAGGCTGAGGAGGAAAAGAATAATTCTGACTCATTATCAGGTGAAGGTCTACTCTAAAAAACATTCACAAAAAAAAACCGTCTCCAAAAATTCAGTTATTAAGCTTCTTGGGAAACATAACTATGACCCTTCAAAACTTAAATTCTTAAGTTCTCTCACCATCACAGCTCTGTTGGATTATTTATTTCTAAGAATGTAGCACAAAGATTTAGTGCCGGTTCACATATATGCGGATTGGATGCAGTTTAAACCGCATCCAATCCACATGACACGTGAAAAAAAAAAAAAATAATAATAGTCGTCTGTTCACATATGTCCAGTGCACTGGCAGTGTGGATCGATAAAGAATCCGATCCGAATTCTGAGCAGTGCAATCCGGTTCAGGTGCGGATTACCGGCTATTGAGTTCTATGAAAACCGCTTCTAAAGCACACATCAGTTTCTGAACAGGATAAAATCCTGACCTAAACCTGATCTAAACCGTTTAACAACTACTTTGTCAATTAGCTGTGCAAACAGAGCTTCAATTTGTACCACACGTGTGAATCTACACTCTACCCAGCTGAGGCAGCATAGCACGACATATAAATATAATGTGAAAATGATATAAATATAATGTGAAAACAAAAAACACCCTTTCACCTACACTAATTCCAAATTGGAAATTGGGTTGATAGCACGACATATAACTGATGTTTCAGTGTGGTTGGATTAACCCATCAAAGCTTAAAAGAATAATTCCAGACATGAGCATGTCATACATAGTTAGGCTGGTCCAGCTATGACCAATATCAGGAATACCTGGCTGATATCACAGGAAGCTGGAAATCACTGAAGTAGATACCACTACTCCAGTGATCTCCACTAGCTTTCGGGTTTCATGCCAAGCAGGTGGCCCACTGCATTGTGAAGGCAGGTGGGTAGCAGCTTGGCACAAACGGTACGTTCAGAGAATGCCTTGCATTCACTGAATGAATCCAAATTGTTCCGATTAGCGGAGGTGGAGAGGCGGGCAGTGATGTCATGCTCTCCACCACATCCAGTCATAGAAAACTGTGCATTCTCTGAATGGCACCCGTGCTAAGTGGCTACGCTCCTGTGTTCACAATACACCAGTCCAGCTGCTCAGCACGGGGCCCAGAAGCAAGTGAACAGTACTGGAGAAGTGGTGTTGACCCCAGTGATTTCCAGCGGTATTGGCCAGGTGAAGTATATACACTGTTACGTTGGTCCAAGCTGGGCCAACCAAACTATGTTTAACCATTTGCCGCCCGCCCTATGGCTGAATGGCGGGCGGTAAATATCATCAGCGTTCCGGGTGGACGCCATATGGCGTCCTCCCGCACATGCGCAGATTGCGCTCCTGCAGAGTGGCGCAGAGGCAAGATCTGTCACCGGCCGTGTACCTCGGACACGGCCGATGACAGATCTGAGTACCGGCCCCCGTTGCCGGTACCATGTGACCTGCTGTGACCAATCACAGCAGGTCACAAGATAATTGTGTACAATGGAAGGCTTCATTCATACCATCCATTGTATACTAGTGTCTAGCTGTGAATGGTCACAGCTAATCACATGCACGTCATGTGATTAGCTGTGGCCAAATCACAGCTAAGCAAAAAAAAAAAAAAACCAAAAAAACCTGAATGAATCGATGTCATTCAGGTAAATGCTTGCTTATAGCAAAGTAATTCTTTGCTATAAGCAAAGTGTAAAAAAAAAAAAATATATATATACTGATCACTTCCCCAAAGTAGTACAATGTTACTATGGTAACATTGTACTACTTTGGTCATAGTGAAATCTTAAAAAAAAGAAAAGAAAAAAAATTTAATAAAAAAATAAAAATATATATTTTTTTTTCGTACTGTCACCAGTCAGTGTCCCTGATCACCGCCATGCCAGTTATATGATGACGCTGTACTGCACTGGTGACAATATGTAAAAAAAAAAAAAAAAAAAAAAAAAAAAAAAAAAATTGTGACAATATTTTTTTTAATTTTTTCATTTTCCGAAAAATTATGACAAAAAAAAAAAATACAACTTCAAAAAACTCGCCATGCCTCTTATGAAGTATGTTGGACTGTCTACTTTGCAAAAAGGGGTCATTTGGGGGATATCTGTACTGTCCTGACATTTGGGGGATATCTGTACTGTTCTGACATTCTTGGACCTCAAGAAATTAGACTGGCTGTCAGTACTTCAGGATTGATCAATATTCAGATCTATACCATAGTTTGTGAACTCTATAACTTTCCTACAAACTAAAAAATACATCCTAATTTGGGTTATTTTCACCAAAGACATGTAGCAGAATACATCTCGGCCTAAATTTATGAAGAACAATTATTTATTTGCAAACTTTTATAACAGAAACAAAGAAAAACTTTTTTTTTTTTTTTTTTTTTTTTTAACTTTTGGGCTTTTTTTGTTAATTTAGCAAAAAATAAAAACCCCGGTGGTGATTAAATACCACCAAAAGAAAGCTCTAGTTGTGTGAAGAAAATGATAAAATTTTAGTTTGGGTACAATGTTGTATGACCGCGCAATTGTCATTCAAGGTGTGAGAGCGCTGAAACCTGAAAAATGGCCTGGGCAGGAAGGCGTAAAATTGCCCGGTATTGAATTGGTTAAACTGCTGATGCCTGGAATTATTCTTTAATGCCAGACAAGGAAAAAATGTCAATACAATGAAAGCCCCAACCAAACCTTAGCCCTGAGAAGTTATTCTGTGTACTACAATGTGCAGTTATGCTGGTAATCTTGTGATAGAAACAGGTCCCTCATACAGCCTGTGTAGAGCCATTTCTGTTTTGCATGCCCAGCTGCTGCTCTCGCCCCACAAAGCACAGCATCCAAATGCACTTTTTTCTTTTAGTAGATCAGATACGGTAGCACTGATGTCTTTGCGTCACACTTGAGTAGGCGGGTCCAATCAGCAGTGCACAGTCATAACCCACCCACAGGCAATTCTTTGGTCACTGCCCACACATCTACCCACCAACGTCACTACATTCCCAAGAGATCATGGTATGTGTAGTGCACCGGAGTGCTGGGAACAACGCTGCATGTGATGTGTGCCACCTCTCTGGCTGTGCAGCGGTGACGTTTTAAGGAATAAAAAGCAAGACTGCGGCAAAATAAAGATATTTTTTAGGTATTAATTTAAGGAGTTTAATGAGAACGAGCCATCATAAAAAAAAGTCTGCTTCATTCCGGAGTTCATCTTTAATACTTACACAATGCCACTTTCCCACTGCTCAGATTCCTCATCTTTTTCCTCTTTTGCTTCAGCCTGAGGTGTATGTGGATGCTTTTGCACAATTCTCATGCCTCCAGCTTTTACTGCAAATCAGTACAATTAAAAGATAAATGCAACGTTTAGCATATGTTAAAAGTCTCAAAGCCACTTTAACATCTACAGGTTTGTTTCATATCAGTAATTCTTCACTGATGCCAGAGACTCCCAGGCAACTAACATTGTTGGAAAAAGGTCAGCAATATCAGCGACCATGTTTTTTGCATTACGCTTTCCTTTAGGGACCATTCACACCACTAGAATATAGTATAGTACAACACGTGGTAACATATGTTACATGTGCTAGTGCCGAGCAGTGGCATTTATTGTGAAAAGCACCCCAACACACCATCCCACTGCACTTGCATTGCTGTGGACTGCAACATGCGTTAACACACTACCGTGCTGTCAGGAATGGACTTGCCAATAGTGGTGGGACTCACCTGCCTTGTGGGCTGCAGTACCAGGGCTGGCCAGCGGGTGCTCTCAACAACCAGAGGATCCACTTCGGCAATTAGCCATCACCTGGGGCTGATTGCAGGAGGTGTATTTAAGGGATGGCCAGACCTGCAGTCTGTGCCTTGGTGTGTGTTTTTCCATGGGCCCCTGTATCTTGTAACCTGCATTCCTGTTCCTGCCTGACTTGTTGCGACCCTGCCTGATCCTGACCTCTGCTGACTTTTCCAGTTTGATCCCTGGCTTGTGACCCTGACCATTCTCTGCCTGACCCCTGCCCGATAGTTACCTACCTGACTACGTTGTGCTCTATATGTGTATGTACCTGTGTATCTATATCAGTTTAGGTTTGGGTTTGATTCACCTTGTTGTATATATTTTGTGTTAGCTTGGGGTTTGCTGCACTGCGTTTATATTTCTATTGTTAGTCTTAATAAATTATATTATTTACTATATCTGAGGCCTGCGTTTCCCTGTGTCAGTCCACACACTTCTGGTCACACGTGCATTGAACTGAGCAACAGAAAATGCTACAGGTCTGATATTTGGCACATTGCGGCATATTATTCAGCTATTCAAAAGAATGGGCTGCCTTAAGACAAGGTAAATGGACCACCCTGGTGTGAATGGGTCCTTACCGATATCCCAGCTGGGGTGATTTTCCTTCACGATTTGTCATACTGACCACTGTCACCGGGCCCTGCACCCCTTCACACATCATCTATTACTAGGTGTAAAATGCACCTACAGTAACCCTGTCTTCTGAAAGCAGCGCCTAGCATAAAAGACAATCATGCCCCTTCTGGCTAGATCCTGGGAAACACAGAAGCCTGTCTAAAATGTAGGTGCTCTTGCAGTGGACTGGAGCATCTACCTGCTCTGCAAGTCTTGGGAATATTCATGACATCATGTCCAGAGATATGGAAGATGAGGTAAGGCAAGTAGAACTTATTTTTACAGGTAAATTATACACCAATAACAGTAGGTCATGTGTAAAGGGGGGAAGATTGCCAAGGCAATTTCAGCAGACCTTGCATTTTACCAGGAAAAAAAAAAAGTTCTTTATATATTTTCCTTTTCTAATTCAATTATCCACAGTGAAAAGCACTGTAATGCCATGCCATCCGAGGCACTGTGGAAGAATACAGCAAGTCTGTAATTTTTTTTCACAATGCACATCTCACCAGTGCTGTGGTATAAAAGACACCTAGAAAACAATTGTTTTCTGTGTACCCTTGCTGATGTTGATCAGGTGCAGAAAAACACCGGTAACCACACTGTGTGAGTGAGCCCTAAAGCAAACTCTAGCAACTTAGTGCATTTATAGTTCAATTTTACTTCCTAGTTTGACTGAGTGGGAAAGGGTTAGAACTTGTCTAATAGGCCAGGACCCTATTAACCTCCCTGGCGGTATGATTATTTCAGATTTTTGGTGCTGAAAGCGGTGGGTACCATTTTTTTGCATGGAAATATGTATTTTTTTTTTATTGTAGGCCTGTAATTTAGGAATAACTCACTGAAATCTGTCCCAACAAGAGTCTAGTAAACATCCCGGGTATGATAAAAACTTGAAACACAAAATCATAAATTATAATTTAATAATCATAAAAAAAAAAATAATAATAATAATAATAATAATAATAATAAATGTAATTCAATAATATAATCAAACCAAAAAACACTGAAATTTGAAATATAGCGCCAAGTTCGCACATCACTGAGCAAAGTTGCAAAATCGTTCAGTGTCTGATGACGAATTTCCCCACGAATCATTATCACTCAATTCTGCAAGTGGTTCTGATTTACTATCACTGTTCTCTAGCCGGTCTAAAACCGCTTTTGACATAAAGGGACGCTTTTTGGATGCCATGGACTTTTCTAAGTTTCCAGGCAGAAAGAACAGACAAAATGCAGGCAGGGGACAGGACAAAGCACTCGGGACAAAATGTATGTGAAATGCTTTGAAACAGCAATGTTTTATTATGTAATAATCATTTAAGAAAATGACATTTTTAAAAAAAATTTCAAAATTTGCCGCCGGTTCCGGCGCCCGTACGTCCCGACGTACATGGCATGGTAAGCCCGAGTGTAGTTCGGGGTTACCGCTTTTGGTACTGAAACTTTACCCCGAGCTACACTCGGGGAATACCGCTAGGGAGGTTAAAGAGATTCCCTCTCACTTTCTGGTCTGGTGAAATCATTTTCACAAGAGAGGAAGTAAGGGAGTCTTTCCAACAACAAAAAAACAGACAAAAATGAAAACCCCTTTTTAACTAAAAGTGGTAGTAGTCTTTTGTTTAAGTTGTACCTACCTGTAGGTACTGTGAATATCTCCTAAATGTGCACGGTTTAAGAGATACTCACACAGCATGCAGTCGGTGACGTCACTGGTGCATGGGCTCTGAAGGAATGGCATAGCTGTGCCGCACCTTTAGGCCAGGTTCACACCTATGCAGGTTGCGTTTGAGCCGTTTCTGCATTGTTTTGCGTTGCGTTTTTGCACTTGCGTTTGACGCGTTTTGCTTTCCACCCTTTTTTTTTTTCCTTGTTGCTAGGCAGAATTAAAAAGCAAAACGCAGCAAAAACGCAATACGTTCTTTTCTGCAGTGTTTCCATTGAAAAACGCAACTTTTTGCATTAGAAACAGTCCCTGACCCTTTCCAAAAAATGCACAGGTGTGAACATGTCCTATAGGAAATCATTTTAATTCTATTAACATGATTTTCTATGGGACATGTTCACACCTGTGCGTTTTTTTGGAAAGGGTCAGGGACTGTTTCTAATGCAAAAAGTTGCAGAAAATGCTTAGGTGTGAATCTAGGGTTAGAGTCCGTACCGCAGCACATGCAGGTGACTAAGTGAAGATGGCAGTGCCAGGGAGCTGTAGGGTTCTGCTTAAAGGCAAGTCTGTCACAATGTACTAGCATGGATGCATACTAATACATTATGACCTAAACCTGCAGGGGCCCATATTTTTTTTTTTTATGATCGCTTTAAGTAGGGAAATGCTAGAACCTCTGGCAGATTTCTATTGTTGTCCGTTTCTCTGTTGCAGATTTTCCTGTTTTGGTAAAGCCGTGCCACCAGAACAGGTATTAAAGTTACACTCACGGCAACGCCTTTTCCAGGAGTCTTTCAAGACAGCACCTTGAGAGACCTCGGCTCCTCCCCACCTGAGGAAACATCTCCACCCAGAATAAAAGTGTGGCCTCCCCCCACTGACCTCAGTTCATGACTTAGCACCTCCGGTCACCTGGGGAGACACAAAAAAAAGAACTGTACTGTATAACCAAATGCTAAAAAAGGGTGCGTAACTGGTGCGGTCCTGAAAGACTCCTGGAAAAGGTGTTACCGTAAGTGTAACTTTGCTTTTTCCCCTCCCAGTCTTTCAGGACAGCACCTTGAGAGGATACGCGAGCACTCACCCCTAGGTCGGGACCACCGCTTGTAGAACTTTGTGCATGAAGGCCTGCTCCTCTACCGAGACCAGATCAAGTCTGTAATGCTTAACAATGGTGTGTAATTGGACCAGGTAACAGCCCTACAAATCTGTCCTGGGGTTGCACCAGCCAGCTCAGCATACCTGACCGCCGTGGCCCTGGGTGGAGTGCACCACGATACCCTCCGTGACTTCCAGACCCTCGGTCAGATATGCCTGTTTAAGTGCAAGTCTTTGCCACCTAGCTAAAGTGTGCCTAGCGAAACCTCGATCTGTTTGGGTGGGGGTAGGGAGTGCAGTCTGTGTCTGAGGCACAGATAAATTCTCAACCAGAGACCTAAAGGAATCAAAAGGTGAGCCATCAGTTCTGATTTAACCAGGTCCCCGAGAAGGAACTTCCTCCCGTATCAGGCCATCAACACAAGACTCACACAGCACCTTCGTCCAGGAGTCTTTGAGGGTCATTTCTTTTTAGCTCCGTGGTTCGGCTTGGGCTTCTCCCTGGCTTTCACCTGCAAACAGAGCACACAAAACTGGGGCTCCCATTACCAAAAGGCAGGGACTGGCCACCTCCCCCCCTCTGGCAGGGCGTGGGAGTCTTCTAGCTGAGACCCCTTCTCACCCCCTGCTCTAGTCCCTCCGACCACCAGGAGGGCCAAGGACACCCCTTGGAGCTAGGGGCAAACAGATAGGGGAAAAAAAAAAAGTTCCTCTGAGCCACCTACCTGAGGCTGGCTGGTGCTTGCATCACCTGGTCCCGTGGCCTCTGCTTCGGACATGTTCCAAGTTGGTGGTCCCCCCTGAGGTCCTGTGTCACCCACCTCTGCAGGATGCAGACCTCTGCACCGCTGCACTCCAGTCCACGCTTCAAGGGGCACAGCTGGAAGCCGCGTCCCGGGAGGAAGTCCCGCCCCTCCACCAGATGTGACGTCCATCATCTGGCCCGGCCTCCATTTTCCAGCACATTTCGTGGGGTGGCAGTACTTCTCCCTCGGTCCCCTTGGACACCAAATAGTGGACGTCTGACACCCCAAACCTTCCCCCGGTGGGGGACGGGGCAAGATGCAGGTAGGGGACCCCCCCTACGCCGGGAGGGTCAGTCCCTCCTTCTGCAAAGTGGGTGGGGGGTACACCAGACAAACTGCACCCATTCCAAACCCCCATCTTCCAGGCACCGCCCTGGAAGGGTTTCCAAGACCTTGTTTCCCCACTGGAGAAAACACCATTACGGAGGTCGGTGGGGGAGGTCGCACTTTTATTCTGGGTGGTGGTGTTTCCTCAGGTGGGGAGGAGCCGAGGTCTCAAGGTGCTGTCCTGAAAGACGAGGAGGGGGAAAAAAAAAAAAAAAAGTTAGACTATAGGTGCACTATAAACTTTACATACGGTGAAATTACTGCCATGCAGAGGTTACCATCAGTGAAAAGCTGCACGTCAAACAATCTGGTCTGTCTACTTAAACAGCTAAATTTAGATCCAACTCTTGAGCATTCTACTGGTCACCTTACAAAAGGGTAGCACAATGAAAACAGGAGAGGCAAAGTCAAGTTTGGGTTTTACAGAAAAATGCTGTATAGTGTACTTTCTAGTTCTTAGATTCTTCTGATTGTTTTCATCAAAGGTAACTTCTAATTATGCAATTCCTTCATCACACGCTCTAACTTTTGACAGCTTTACTTTAAAAGACCAATGTTTTGTTCATGCCCCCGATGGTGGTATCGGTGTAGCATGTGCTCATGGAATTTGTAAAATTGCCAAAAAATTGGTAAAAACCATTTACTAGCAGTCGCTCTTTTTACTACCTTCTCACTAGTAATAGTAAAAATAATCTACATCTTTTATATACAGGTTTGATTGTATTTGTGGTGAATTTGTGTGAATCACAAAATAGTGGTAGCAGCTCTCAGTTTCAGTATTTAGCTTTTTAATTACTTGGAGAAAGGAAAAGGGATTTACTGCAGCAAAGGGGCATTTTTTGTCTTAATTTGTAAAGATGGTGATGTGAGCGACTGCCACGCTAACAGGAGGGGAGGCATTGGGCATGCCCACTGCTGTAAGAGCACAGGGTCGTGGATAAGGGGGTACCGCCAGTCACACTGTTCGGGGCCCAAGCCACTGGTTGAATCAGATGTGGGCAGGGAGGATGATTGGAACGGCGGGGAGGGGCAATTACTGGAACCGATCCCCATGTGGCTCTCTCTGCAGCAGTGGAAAGCTTGCTTCTTCTTCTATCCCTCCTGCTGACTTTCAGTTGCTGCACATACAGGGGATCTGTTACAGTAAATCGGTACCAATCACTCGCTATGTTCGTTCATAACTGAAGCATCACAAACTGTGGTTTCTAACAGCAGCCCTGACTGTGGGTGACTGCCGGTGTAGGGGTGCATGCTGTGTGATCACTGCTGTAGGGCTGGACTGCCGCGCGACCGCCTGCTGCAAGGGCTGGCATGTCCTGCAATCACCACTATAAGGGCACCATTCTTCCCAATGTACTGAGACCTAAAGATGCTTTGAAGGGTTCCTCTGCAATATGCTGAGTAAAGATGAATACACATCCCCACACTGGAATTAGCTTCCCCATACAATTACCGGCAGTTCCTGCACCTCTTGGCCCCAGAACCCTCCATCTGTGAGCACGAGAAGCGGACACAATGGGGTCGCATGCCGCGCGACCGACCGCCTGCTGCAAGGGGCGGCATGACGCGCCGCCGCCTGCTGCAAGGGGCGGCATGCCCGCCGCCGCCGCCTGCTGCAAGGGGCGGCATGACCCGCCGCCGCCTGCTGCAAGGGGCGGCATGCCCCCGCCACCGCCGCCTGCTGCAAGGGGCGGCATGACGCCGCCACCGCCTGCTGCAAGGGGCGGCATGACCCGCCGCTGCTGCCTGCTGCAAGGGGCGGCTGCAATGCCCCATGCCCCCCACCGCCTGCTGCAAGGGGCGGCATGCCCCGCCACCGCCCGCTGCAAGGGGCGGCATGCCCCGCCACCGCCTGCTGCAAGGGGCGGCATGCCCCGCCACCGCCCGCTGCAAGGGGCGGCAAGTCACGTGCGACCACCGCCCTGCTGCAAGACGTGCAAGGCCCGCTGCAATGTCACGGCAAGACCGCAAACGCGCGCCGCGCCCGCTGCAAGGGGCGGCATGCCCCGCCACCGCCCCTGCTGCAAGGGGCGGCATGCCCCACGACCGCCCGCTGCAAGGGGCGGCATGCCCCGCGACCGCCTGCTGCAAGGGGCGGCATGCCCCGCGACCCGCCTGCTGCAAGGGGTGGCATGTCCTGCGATCCCCACTATAAGGGCACCATTCTTCCCAATGTACTGAGACCTAAAGATGCTTTGACGGCTGCAATATGCTGAGTAAAGATGAATACACATCTCCCCCCCCCCCCACACTAGAATTAGCTTCCCCATACAATTCCTGCACCTCTTGGCCCCAGAACCCCCCCATCTGTGAGCACGACAAGCGGACACAATGCTGCACAGACCTCCCTGTCAGCCCACTCTATGAATCCCACTGACTATAGTCATCTGTAGACGGTCGCGGGGGCCATTCCCCTCCTGAGGTCGGTACCATATGGCACTCATCACACACGGCCTGCTATACTCCCCTCCCCTGCGTAGAAGTACAATGTATACCGGCCGGCGGGTGTCCAGCCTTGGTGTCCGGTTTCTCTCTAGGCGGAGAAGACATGCTGTCTAGTGGAAGGTGTTCCGCTCTTCTCTGTACACCCGGAGGGCACAACGCTCCACAACTCGCTGGAAGTCTACAGCCGCCAAATCCCCGCCCAAATCTCGCCTGTCCCCTTCTCCTTCCTACTCCACGCTCCTCCTGAACACCCGCCCATACCAATTCCTTCAACGTGGCTTTACTAATATGCCAGGCTTTTTTTTTTTTTTTTTTACTTAACTTTATTGATAACAATAATGTGATAGACACGTTGGCGTTCTCCTCCTCCCAAGAGCGACCTAGGCGCACATGCGCAGTAACAATAGGAAAGGCGTCAACGCGCAGGGGAGCGTGCACGCACGCTGGAGATGTCTGCGTGGCTTGTTTCACGCCTCACGTGTTCTTACGTACGGTTGGCGCGTCCATGTTGCTATGGAAATAGTTGCATAGAGACTAGAACGCCTCCTAAAGCCATAGTATTTCCACGTTTATTACGGGGGACTGAGGAGGACGGCTACAGGTAGGAGAAAGGAGCGCAGCGGGCTCAGCGAATTTTTTTTAATCGACCATTTCTCGCAGTGGGGTGTTACATGTCATGATTTGAACTGGCTTGCAGAAAGCTGTTGATATTGATGTGACTATTGGCCAGGGGCGGACTGACGACTCATGGGGCCCCCGGACAATAGGGGATCATGGGGCCCCTGGGTCCTTGCCCAAACTCAAAAAACCCTATGAAAAAGGTACCAGGGGCATCTCATGGGGCCCCCTACTGACCCCGGGCCCTCGGGCAGTGCCTGAGTTTCCAAATGGTCAGTCCGCCCCTGCTATTGGCTATTGTGAACCATACACTATACCAGTGTTTATCAACCTTTTCTCAGTCAAGGCACCCTTTACAACGATGGACAGTCCCGAGGCACCCTTTACAACGATGGACAGTCCCGAGGGCACCCTTTACAATGGTGGACAGTCCCGAGGGCACCCTTTACAACGATGGACAGTCCCGAGGGCACCCTTTACAACGATGGACAGTCCCGAGGGCACCCTTTACAACGATGGACATTCCCGAGGGCACCCTTTACAATCGTGGACAGTCCCGAGGGCACCCTTTACAATCGTGGACAGTCCCGAGGGCACCCTTTACAATGGTGGACAGTCCCGAGGGCACCCTTTACAATCGTAGACAGTCCCGAGGGCACCCTTTACAATCGTGGACAGTCCCGAGGCACCCTTTACAATGGTGGACAGTCCCGAGGCACCCTTTACAATGGTGGACAGTCCCGAGGCACCCTTTACAATCGTGGACAGTCCCGAGGGCACCCTTTACAAATGGTGGACAGTCCCGAGGGCACCCGTTACAAATGGTGGACAGTCCCGAGGGCACCCTTTACAAATGGTGGACAGTCCCGAGGGCACCCTTTACAACGATGGACAGCCGAGGGCACCCTTTACAACGGTGGACAGTCCCGAGGGCACCCTTTACAATCGTGGACAGTCCCGAGGGCACCCTTTACAAATGGTGGACAGTCCCGAGGGCACCCTTTACAAATGGTGGACAGTCCCGAGGGCACCCTTTACAAATGGTGGACAGTCCCGAGGGCACCCTTTACAATGGTGGACAGTCCCGAGGGCACCCTTTACAATGGTGGACAGTCCCGAGGGCACCCTTTACAATGGTGGACAGTCCCGAGGGCACCCTTTACAATGGTGGACAGTCCCGAGGGCACCCTTTACAATGGTGGACAGTCCCGAGGGCACCCTTTACAACGATGGACAGTCCCGAGGGCACCCTTTACAATGGTGGACAGTCCCGAGGGCACCCTTTACAATGGTGGACAGTCCCGAGGGCACCCTTTACAATGGTGGACAGTCCCGAGGGCACCCTTTACAATGATGGATAGTCCCGAGGCACCCTTTACAATGATGGATAGTCCCGAGGGCACCCTTTACAAACGATGGACAGTCCCGAGGGCACCCTTTACAACGATGGACAGTCCCGAGGGCACCCTTTACAACGATGGACAGTCCCGAGGGCACCCTTTACAACGATGGACAGTCCCGAGGGCACCCTTTACAATCATGGACAGTCCCGAGGGCACCCTTTACAATCATGGACAGTTCCGAGGGCACCCTTTACAATCATGGACAGTCCCGAGGCACCCTTTACAATCATGGACAGTCCTGAGGCACCCCATTCTAAAATGTGAAAAGCTATTCTAATAGTTTTATATAACGCAGCAACATCCACATATGTAGGACACCCAACATTAGAGGGGATTTATTCTTCCAAAACAAACACACTTTTGCACACTGGTACAGACTAGTATTCCCTTGTTTCTCTTCTCTCTCAGTTTTTATCCATCACTGAGCTAATGCGACCCCCAGCACTGATAGAGAAGGGCAGGAGAGGGTCAAACTAGGATTCTGTGCAGGCAGCTGACGTCCTCCTTATCACCTGATGATGTCATTGGTTGTCAGGACAGACGTGTATAAGGTCGTAATGGTGCACAATGAAAACCTGTGACTTTGTATAATTAAAAGGCAGGATTGTTCCACTCGCTGGCTTGTGTACAAGTTTTGGGAAATTTTTAGACATTTTGCCAAGGCACCTCTGGTGAAACCTCAAGGCACCCCAGGGTGCCTGGGCACCCTGATTGAGAAAGGCTGCCCTATACAATCTGATCAGTACCGGGACAGGTTAATTTAGTGCCCAGGGCAAGAATACAGAACTGCATTCCCCCACTCTTAATGCATGCCATAAAATTGGTTTTTCTGCCCTGTGGCTTTTCTCTGCCCTCCCTGCTTTGCTGTGCACAGGGCAGCTGTCCCTCCTTCCCTCCTGGGCTGATCAAAACGAATGTCTTGGGGATAACCTATCCCGCATATTCATTATGAATGATAAAGTGGGGCATAGAAGTGGAGGACAAGCTTTGGATGGGAGCCATAGCAAATGGGAGACTGGGGTTGTGGGTATGATTGAAGCTTCAAGCCGCATCCAAATGGGGTGGCTGTGTTTCGTATGGTCAGTGAGCAGGGATGCTATCTGAGTTGCGTGATAATAACACAGCAAATCAGGGACCCCCATCCCCCTTGTAGCCTAGGGGTATGAAGGGATTTTTGTTCACCCTAGGTCTCTTGTTGCCCCAGATGTACACAGATACTGAACGCTGAAACTTCTTTAGGTCCGATATATTTATAGGCACTGGAAGCATCCTAAAAAGGTATAACACAAAAAGGTTACACATTCATTTTGAGTGAGTGCAGCCTGCTGAACCATGATGGGGGGTTAATTGACCAACGTGCCATATCTTCTGAGAGTGTTTTATATAGTGGGGGAAAGTCTGTTTGTACAGGGTTTGAAAATTCGGAGTTAACTTTATTCCTAAATAGGGAACAGCAACCGGTTGCCATTTAAATGAAAGGGAGCTTTGGGGGGCCTGGACTGTACCCTCGTCCAGGGAGATGTTCATTGCTTGAGATTTGTGCTGATTAATGCAAAGACCAAATATCAAGGAGAAGGACTAAGTTAGGAATAGAGGTAACTGGGGAGGAGAGAAGCAGCAACATATCGTCTGCGAATAACGCACATTTGTTTATCATTCCCCTACAGGGGTGTCACGGTCTGGGTCAGGTTCAGAGACCAGTTGCTACAGCAGTGTAAGGCTTACCTGAAACCAGCAGGGTTGGCACACCAGCGGATCACCCTGGGAATGATGCAGGCTTACCTGAGGTGCGGGGTCTAAGCATTAACCGGTTTTCCCCAGAGCTCCTAATGGTGGAGATGGATTTGGCTGCGTGCTAATACCAGGTCGTAGATCTCAGGATCACCCCACCAGGGAATGAACAAGCTGGAAACCAAAAGCGGATCAAACAGATTAGGGATCAAACAGAAGCAGAGTCAGTCACAAGCCAAGGGTTGGTCACAAATGGTAGTAGATAGGATGAGGCAGAATCGTAGTCAGTAGCATGCCAAAGGTCGGTAACGAAGATGTAGACAGCAGCAGGAACGGTAAGCAGGATATTGGCTGGGAAGGCACAATAATCTGGCAAGGAGGAAGTGTATGGACATGGCTTTTATAGAAAGTTCATGGGAGGAGCAAGGAGTTCAAGGTTCAAGACAAACTGGGCCAAGGCAGGATCATCCAAAGAATTGTCAAGGGAGCTGTCCAGCATTCCAGGTGGCTCAGTGTGAGAAGAAACATTGCCTCTCATCGCAGAAAGCCAAGGTTCAATCCCAGGCTCTAACAAGGGGATACCCTGGATATCATTATTTTCTTGAATTCTGATGGCGAAAGGTTCTACTGCTAAAATGGACAGCAGGGGAGACAGGGGACATGCCTGACGTGTTCCTCTGCCTATTACTAAACGAGGGGAGCTGTAACCCTTTATCTGGAGATGAGCTGTAGGTCTCCTATAGAGTGCGCTTAGCAAAGTAAAAAATTTGGAACCAAACCCAAACTTTTTTAGGACATAAAAAAGGTAATCCCAAGACAGGGAATCAGAAGCTTTTTGTAATTCTAAAGACAGAAACATACCTTTTCTCTGGCCTTGTTTATCCCAATCAGAATGAATCGCCGAAATGATATCTGAGTCTCCTCCTTTGGTCCGGTGCCTGTCTGCCTGGGACAAACCCTACTTGTTTCGGGTGTATATAACGGGATGGAAAAGTATTAAGCCGGTTCGCCAAGACCTTTGTCATGATCTTCAAGTCTACATTAATCAATATCGGGCCGTAATTTGAACAATCTCAATGGTCTTTGTCTGGTTTAGGGATTACTTGTATCATCGTGTGACTCTCATGTGGCGGCAGCTGGGTCTCCCCTCTGCAGCTCATTAAAGTATGAACAAAGGTGAGGAATCAGAATATCCACAAACTTTCTATAATAAATCCCTGAAAATCCATCCAGGCCCAGTGCTTTGATTGAGTTTAAGGATTTAATTGCTGCTAATATTTCAGCGTCCATAAAATCTGAATCCATCAGTTATGTATATGCCCTTTTTAAGCTAGGTAGTGGAAGGCTCCGAAAGAATGTATCTTCTAAGAGGGTCATAAATGATCCTGGCATAGCATACAATTTTTCAGAAAATTAAAAAAATTCCTGGATAATGACTTGGGGGTTCTGAGTTGGGGTCCCATT